ACTGCTTAATAAACTTACCTGTTTTATGATTATAGTAAAAGTATAATGGATTATGGTAAAAAGTATTGGAACAATGTTAGATATGGTGAAAAATTGGTGGAAATATAGCAACACTGGATAAAGATTGGTAGGTGTAGTTTTAATATATCTTAGTGAACGAGGTGACAGACAGACAGACATATCCTATATAGAAACTATCCACCCTGCAAATTTATGTTCATTTATTTCTTTTCTTGATAGAGTATGGTAAAAAGTTATGAAAATTATGTTGAACTTGGTGGAAATATGGTAGAAATATGGCAACTCTTGGTGCAAAGTGGTAGGTGTAGTTTTACATATTCAAATTCTTAAATAGGTAGGCAGGAATCAAATCATTGAACCTAGCAACAGTCCCTTGTTGAGAGTGTGCTCATCAATTCATAAACTATATGTTTTAATGCCGTATTTGTTTATGATCTGTTATAATTTTGATCAATTATTTTAAGGTTTTGGAGGATAATGAAATAAAGTTATAAGTATGGTAGCATTGGTTGAACATGGTGGAAAAATATGGTGGAATTTTGACAAACTTAATGGAAAATTGGTAGGTGTATTTATTTTTCAAATCAACCCTTCCTTGTCCATCCATTAGGTATATATTGTTTAAATACCACCTATTTTTGTTCTCTCATATCTTGTCTGATAATTTTGTAGGAAATATGGTAGATTATAGTTGAAGTGTAGCAGAAGGTAGTTAATGAATAGTGGTAATATAGTTAACTTTGGTGGAAATTGGTAGGTGTATTTATATTCCAATTACTGGACTGTTATATTCATGGTACCAACCGACCCATCCTTGCCTCTCCATTGGGTGTATATCGTTTAAATGTCAAAGATAATTGTATCCACTCAATTCTTATTTTGATATTTTTGTAGATTGTGGTAAAATAGAGCAGAAGATGGTTAAGATAGTTAGATAGCTGTTAATTGGAGTACCAGTATATCATTTAACAGCCGAGTCTGTTAGTAATCTCTCATGTCCATCAGTCCAAGGGGTGTATATTATATAAACAGCTGAATCTGTTGGTGGTCACTTATGGCCGTCAATCATGAGGGTGTATATTACTTAAACAGCTGAGTCTGTTGGTGGTCACTTATGGCCGTCAGTCATGTGGGTGTATATTGTTTGAACTACCAAGTCTGTTGGTGGTCACTCATGTCCATCAGTCATCTGGGTGTATATTGTTTGAACTACCAAGTCTGTTGGTGGTCACTCATGTCCGTCAGTCATCTGGGTGTATATTGTTTGAACTACCAAGTCTGTTGGTGGTCAGTCATGTCCATTAGTCCAGAGGTGTATATTATTTAAACAGCTGAGTCTGTTGGTGGTCACTTATGGCCGTAAGTCATGTGGGTGTATATTGTTTGAACTACCAAGTCTGTTGGTGGTCACTCATGTCCGTCAGTCATCTGGGTGTATATTGTTTGAACTACCAAGTCTGTTGGTGGTCACTCATGTCCGTCAGTCATCTGGGTGTATATTGTTTGAACTACCAAGTCTGTTGGTGGTCAGTCATGTCCATTAGTCCAGAGTGTGTAAATCATTTCTACTGCCAAGTCTGTTGGTGGTCACTCATGTCCGTCAGTCCAGTGGGTGTATATCATTTCTACTGCCAAGTCTGTTAGTGATCACTCATGTCCGTTGGTCCAGTGGGTGTATATCATTTCTACTGCCAAGTCTGTTAGTGATCACTCGTGTCCGTCAGTCATCTTGGTGTATATTACTTTAACAGTCGAGTATGTTGGTGGTCATTTATGTCCATCAGTCCAGTGGGTGTATGTTTTACCACCTCATCTGTGGGTGGAATTGTCATTTGTGTTTATCTGTTCTATGTTGTGTGTAGGCCTATTATTGTCTATGTCTGTCAGTCGACTGATTTGTATATTTTTGTTATTGTTATTAATTATTATGTCACTTTGTCACTAATCATATTTTTCCTTTAACTAATCAGTTTTTGTTTTTTACAGAAAATATATTGCAATGATATTTGTTTCTGAAATTGATGGTCTATTTTCCAAATACAAGTTGTAGTTTGGTTTGAAAATATTGACCTCAATTTTGATACAGATGTTCATTCCAATATGGTCTTTGCTCCGTTTTATTGTATTACGCCTACCAACGAAGATGATCCACCAATAAGATGATCCACCAAAGAAGAGATGGTGGAGCAAAGACCGCTTTGACTATTTTGTGGCATGTTATATTTAATCTCATGTCCAATTTCGTCATTGCGGTTTTTATAATTAACAACTTACTTGACTTCAAATGAAGATACATTTATAATGGATAAATAATTGGCATGTTTTTGTTAGACTGA